TGAAGTTGACGAGTACCAAACCGACTGAACACTCTTTTTCCTTCCATAACCAACCGTGGACGTTATTATATAAAGAGAATCTAAACTCTGATTTGTATATTCAGGTCGCAGCTATTTTTAGTGAAATGTACAGATATTTAAAGGTGTACTGACATATCCGTTGCTAGGGAAATTCGGTAGTTCTCTAAAATGACAAACAAAAGTAGAATCGCTTTCGTAAGCCTTCCAAAACAAAAATAACACATTCTATGACGTAATTGTATCAGTTGAAAAACTTCGTGAATTATTTAGAAGGTATCTATGGAATTAAGAAAAACGTCTAGAAGCTCTTTTTGGGCATGCTTTTGTCTTGTCATACACTCGAGTCATTAAAATAAATTTACTTTAATATGACTTTCCCCTTTCAATTCTAGAACTACCTATACAAAGCAACATACTTTTTTAGATTTTTTTTTGAAGTCAGGTCAGACGATGAGTCTGCTACTGGTAACATTGTAACCCAGTACAACCTGCCTCATGGACGGGTCGTCGGCGTCTAAWCCGGCTCCCCCACCAGTCTAACTGGTGAGGAGGGTGGCATGTACACCCAGCAGGACTAAAAACAAGACCTGTCAAAGGGCGAATGAGCTCATCTGAGCCACCGGCCATCATGCATGCTTCTTTATTCCTTGTATGTATTTTTTGTAGTGTCATTTATATTTTAATTTTTATTGTTGTAATTTTTAAGTTTGATATCTTGGGACGGACTAAGAGCGGCAGCCATGAGGCGCCATCTTAAGCTCGCAGTCTACCATGACTCTGTCATTGTAATTGTTTGTAATTTGAAAGCGCTTAGAGCAGATTTGTATAAGCGCTGTATAAAATAAAATTATTATTATTATTATTATAGAAGACACACCAAACCTTATGAGATTTTAAGACTTTGAATTGTGAGTAATCACTCGATAAACCGTATTATTTTTTATATAAAAATAAGAAAGAATAAAAGAGAAATTGGGATTTGAAAGGTTTTATTATACCTTATTCAAGATTGAAGTTACAAAAGCCAAGTATACAGTCAATCCCATTAATTACACTATTTTTAAACAAACTACGTACAGATTGAGAAGTAACTGTATGCGCACATTTCTTGTGTCGAATTATTGACTTTGATCTTATTTCTTGTGATCGAAAACCAACACTTGAAATAGCCAAATCTGCCAATAACCCCTGATATTATCCTTTTTAGTTTATTTGAACATTCAGGGCATCTTTTGAATCAAACTTTAGACTTTCGATGTTTTCTTGGTAATTGATCGGAGTTGTTAAACCAAGTATAGTCGAAAAGTTAATTAGAAACTCCTGCAGATGAGACAGCTATTCTTTGAAAATATGTGCAATAAGCCTCCACGATCTTATGCTTCGGGTAATCAGACTCGTTCGCGTTGTTGAGGTGACAAGTGCCATTGTTGTCCATGAAATTTATAGATTTGCATTTTTCTCCAGAATTAAGGCAGTGCTGAATACAGACAAAGACGTCCGCCATGTTGTTTTCAGAATGCATCACGTGATTCAATAAGCATTGCCCATAGGTTGACTGAAACATTGCCTCTTGGTATATTCTTTCTGCATCTTACGGAAAATGAATGAATAAATGAATAAATAATTTATTTAAAATGAAGAATAAGTATAGAATGTGAATGCAGAGCCGGCGAGCACAGGCACCTTTCATTGCGCGCTAAAACACAGAACACCTATTTCAATAAAGATGGTCGGATTTTAAATGAAGGTAGAATGGCAGTTTTCGACCGGCGATTGCACGACCAAAAGGAGACACGAGCTAAAGTGGTGCAGAAATTATACAATCTGTAAGATGTTGAACCCAGCACGTGTATATCAAACTGCATATACATAACCATACTCCCTTTCCAACATTCAGTCGCCTTTTACCGTTTCCCTGTCAATGTTTTTTGGGTGTATGCATATTGGAAAACAGCAAATATTTTTTTGAAGAAGATCATACAACACATAATTCTCCAGTATCGAGATCTTTTTTTGTGAAGCTTTATTTTCGAAAGCATGTAATATATTCTTTTATTCAGCAGAGATCCTATTATAATGCAAAAACTCTGTGTACGAAGAAAACAATACAAATTTATGCTTGGTCGAAACTGGAGTTCATGTGATGGAATCATTCTTTGCAAATTTAATGAAGAATTGCTTCATTGAATATTTCCGCAAAAAAAGAATATGACAAGTCATTTGCAAATACATATTGCTTTTCATACCTGGTTCTATGCAAACGCGATTACCAAGACTTTTCTCGGGTACGTCGTCGAACATAAAAACAGGATATCCATAGCACTGTCTTACATAAACAGTGGCATTTCTCCCGCAGCAATCTGCTCCAGTGCGATAACAAATTTCCATCTTTTTAATCCCAGCTTCTAGGGCTGGATACTGGCCATTTAGCCATCCTGGGGCCTTAGCACCGCATGAGCCTGGAGCCGGACAAGAAGTGACTATTCGTGCCGCTTTTTTGTTCTGTAGTCGATACCATCGTCTTCTGATGAAGGTTTCTCTATCAGAAGGATTACCGCTCACTACATCGTATTCTACTGACCTTGAGTGGTCTTTAAGTAGCTTGTTTTGCAAACATGCAGAGTAAACCTCTAAAAGCGAAACATCTATTAACAATTTGGCTACAGCAAATATAACATTTCACGCTCAATGGCTGAGACAGTCGGTATAATATGTAGTTATGTTAAAACGAGCGAATTTAACACATTATAAAAAACTATGATTTTTCTATTTTCATAAGCTTGGTTAAAATAAGCATCAATTGTACCTACCATTTCTTTCCTGACATCTATTCATGATGGCCAATACTTGCTTTGCTGTCAATGCTTTATCGTAGAATTGAACACATGAAATACGTCCTTTGAAGATCCTAGAGTCACCCACTTTTGCTCCACCGATCCTTACCTAAGAATTGCAGAAATGAAGATGGTACTAAATGACATGAAAGTCAAGTACTTTATTCGAAGAAGTACTCCCTTTGAAAAAACGTCTAAGAAGAAATACCAACAAGGCTCGAAGACTTTCCAGAATAAAAAGTTCTTTTGATTAGCTTGCTACTCAATTGAACACTTTTTTTAAAAGGTAATTGTTAGTCAAGTCTTATGAAGAAGTGCAACAAAGAACTCCCATAAGAATGCTTCAATCTAAGCCGATGAGTCTTCAAGCCTCATTTGTTTCGATAATCTGAGGTCGAGATTTTTATGGTATATGCAAAAGTTGTATTGTAGCTGCTGTGCACTGCGGTTTGTTAAATCAGAAAAAAATTGAGTCTTGATAAAGTTTGTCGAGTCAAACGTTTTCGACCATCAAAATGTATACTTCTAGATTTAAAGCGTCGAAAATGTGAAAAGTTCGAAAAAATTCAATTTTTTCTTGGACCATTCTATACTCCTGTACTTTGATACTAACAAAAGCCGAAAGTAGAAAATCTCACAATGCTGGAGTTACCTTGTAATCTGTGGCAATCTCCTGTTTAGCTATGACGCTTTCACGAACTTTAGTTCCATCAACATACAGTCGTTGATTGCCAGTGTTGTTATCATAGGTATAACCGATGTGCCTCCATTTCTTGGTTGTCTTTAAATTATAATCAAGATGGTTATTCGATGTTAAGGTGGACCTTCTCATCATTCTAAAGAACAGATTGGCTGGAGCTATATTGATATACATGTGGGGAGCATAGTTACTTGTCTGAGTGGAGTAAATGATAATTGGCCCAGCAGTACCTTCATTGTAGATCCAGGCGAAGAGAGATATAGAGTACCTAACAAAACGATATATCAAAAAACCGCAACATTATTAGGCTCAAAAAGGTAAATTATCTAAGCATATTCTGTGTACAAGATTAATTTGTATGTTATGGTTTTACTTCCTCTTATTTCACTTCCGGTTTGTATCATTTACATAYTTTATGTAAATTAGAATAACACATGKTTTTCTAAGATGGCTGCCATGATGTAAGTTTTGTACTGAAGTAAATCTACTTGAAACCAAGCTAGTGTAATCCATCCTTATCCGAAAACACAACATGGTGTCAGAAGTGGGATCCGAACCCACGCCTCCATTTTTTTGTTTCGTAATTGTATTGGTGTATTTTTCATATCTTACCTTGTATCAAGCTTCGTCTGCTTTGGAATATCAATATAGCTTGAAGCAGTTCCTGGAAAATAATAGGAGCCTCCTGGCTCACCATCCGGGCCCGGTGCAAGAGTAACACCAACAGTAGTTCCACTCGTTAGATAACTATTACTGATATCTTCCGTCTTGTGGAGTGAATTTAAAGGAAACAATCCAACTGGTTCGGGAACTTCATCTAAGGCATGAGGGTATGTTTTTGTCAGATTTGACGTAAAGCAATTTCAAAAACACCTGCTTATCTGGGTGCACAATCTTTTCAGCTTTTTAAAATAATAGCTTTTATCGGAAATAATCCATTTCAAACATTATAGTACATTCAACAAAATAATACATTCTGATTGGTCGAGAGGAGTACAATTACAGCGTTAATTGTACTCCTTAATTAAGTTGAATGTACTATAAACAAAAAATCGCACAACCTCTCGTACAATTTGGAATTAATAGTTACTCGTAATGTTTTGAAAGTTCTCAAAACATTACTCGTGACTATTAATTCCAAATTGTACTCAAGGTCGTGCGATTT